GGGGGGGGGGGGGGGGGGGGTGCTGTTCAGTGATTTGTAGACATACATGAGTATTTTGAACTGGATTCGAAAGTGAACCGGTAACCAGTGCAGTGAGGCCAAAATTGGTGTAATGTGCTCTCTTTTGCCTGTACTGGTTAAAAATCGGGCTGCTGCATTCTGGACCAGTTGTAGTCGTGCAATGGAGGTTTGACTGATACCAAACAGGAGCGAGTTGCAGTAATCAAGCCTAGATGTAATGAATGCATGTATTACTGTCTCCAGGTTCTTTTTGGACAATATGGGCTTCAGTTTAGACAGCCGCCTCAGTTGGAAGAAACATGATTTAACAATCATGTTTACATGACTGTTAAGTTTCAGGGAAGGGTCCATTATCACGCCCAGATTAGTGACTCTTTGTTTTTCTGACAGGGTTAGAGCGGAGAGGTCGATGCAGTGGTTTGTGATCGTGTCGTTGGGAGGGAACAACATGACTTCAGACTTCTTTTCACTGAAACTTAAGAAGTTTAAAGCCATCCAGTCCCTGATGTCAGCCAGGCAGTTGAGCAGCGGTTGAATAGAGCATGTACCGTTGTGTCTTAGGGGGAAGTAAATTTGACAGTCATCGGCATAGAAGTGGAAGGGAATGTTGTGTTTCCAGAAAATAGCACCAAGCGGCAGCAGGTATAAAGAGAATAGGAGGGGACCCAGGATGGACCCCTGCAGAACCCCCCATTTAAGCTCTGCCTCTGCGGAACTAAAATCCTTGATGGAGACACAAAAGGATCTGTTGCAAGTCTGGTTAAATGAGCCAGTGTTGAGTGGCTTTAAGAAAGTACACTTTGCTCAAGACCACTTGGAAAAAACTAAAACAAGGTTCGAGTGTGGAAGAAAAACATGAAGAAAACTGTGCATTTTTGCAGCGCTACCTCTGCTTTAAGATTTTATTTCTGATTTGTTTCTGATTCCGCGACAGCTTCTGTTTTTAGTAAGATGTAAACATAAGACCTGGTGCAGAAGAACCTGACAGGTGCAGTAAAAAGCTGCAGAATGACACAGATTTGAGGCAACGAGAATTAAATTTGAGCTCATTTTAGCGGAGATTAAGCGAACAGTTTGACTCCAGTTGTCCTTGTTTCTGCTCTTTACGCCACATTCATCCTGCCGAAGCGTCTGTGTTTTAACCAGCGGAGTCCCTGACAGGAGGCTAACGTCAACGCTAGCCGGATGGAACTTCACTCCCGCCGGTTAAAGTCAACGCTAAAGGCGCCGTCACGCGCAGGTGCTGCGAAATGTCCGCTAAATTTAGCGCTAAACGCCTGCGCTGAGTCATAAAAGTGACAAGCGTGTCACGGAGCGGCGAAGACAAATGATTGAATCGTGGCTCCTACCTTTAGCAAATTAGACGGCGCCGCCATGTTCCTTCAACTTATCCTCTCGGAAAATCTCGCGAGATTTCAAAAGGAGCGATTTAAAATGTTTTAAATGCGAATAAAACTCTTTCATTTTCAAACTGACCAGTTATATAAGAATGTGCACTTTCCACACATTTTTGAACTTAAAGTCTTTAGATGTTTTAAGCGATTTAATTTAAGCACAAACTATTTAACAATAGTTTTCTGTGGTGGATTTCTGCCATGTATTAGTCGTTAAAATATATATATATATATTTAAAGCAGTTTGCTGTACTTCCTCCTTTATGAAAGATTTCCTCAACTCTGAAGAAACATAAATCTTCTAAATCGTAATTATGATATATTGTCTCAAACGTATGACTTATGCCTTTTAAAAAGACTTGTGGATTATTATTATTATTTTGTCTTTGAATCTCATAAGTGTGACTTAATATTTCAGAATTATGTCTTAGATTTGTGTATTATTTGCACGGTGGATCAGTTGGTAGAGCTGCTGCCTGCAGCGAGAAGGTCGCCAGTTCAAATCCTGTCCAGGCAGGGCTCTTTCTGGGTGGAGTTTGCATGTTCTCTCCGTGCATGCGTGGGTTTTCTCCAGGTACTCCGGTTTCCTCCCACAGACCAAAAACATGCATGTTAGGCTGATTGGTAGCTCTAAATTGTCCCTAGGTGCGAGAGAGAATGGTTGTTTCATTTGTATCAGTGTCCCTGGGGACTGGAGACCTGCAGGGTGTCCCCGGCCTCTCGCACAGTGACTGCTGGATATGGGCACCAGTGACCCCTGTGACCCAAAAAGGAAGAAGCGGGTAAAGATGATGGATGGATGGATGGATGGATGGAATAACAATATTTTCCAGATGTCCTAACCATTTCAGTAACACAGTTTAGCTGATTAGTCCTGACCTAGTGGTCCAAAAGTTCAAATGTTTTGATTTATTATTCTATTTGTGCAGCAGTGCAAAAGATTGTGATTATTCAATACTCAACCCTGAGCCGAGTCCATCCTGAATGACCCTTTTCTCTCCTCGCTGTCTGGAAGTGGAGGGTGGTTTCAGCTTATTTTTCCATTCGTATCACACTGAGCAGGACTAAAGGTAAGACAAAAACTATGTGTGCAGTCTCTGGGGGTGTTATTGTTTCATTTACAGTCTTTGTTATCATTCCTTCTCAATCCGATGTTCTTTCTGCTAATGTAAGCAGCAGGGATTTCAACCTTCACATGAGAATAACAGCAGCAGTTTGGATAACCAGCAGGGCAGGAAACGAAAAGCCGGAGGCTTGAAGAAAATAATGACTGAAATGTTTCTGAGCTGCAGTTGAAACCAAACTTTTTTATAATACTCATCATTTCTGGGGTAAAAAAAAAACAAACAATCCTGTAGTTTCCAAGTAAGACACTACTTTTGATTAAAAAATATTTTTATTTCATTCAACCTTCATTTATAAAGGTTAGTCTCACGAGGACTCGTTTACAAGAGAGATCTGTTTTAGACAGACAACATATGTAAGACAACAGTTAAAATGCAATTAAAATAAATGTAATGTTCTAAAACAATACATCAAGGTGCCATAAAACAAAGTAAAATACTAAAAACAAAAACATATTTGCTTTGATGTTTCTATTGACCTTATCAAATGTTTAAAATCCCCTAAAGAAATTAAGGTGGAAGCTTCAAGGTGTTCCAGGTTGCAGGAGCTGAGTAGGAAAACGCCTTTTTGCCAAGTTCAGTCCGCGCTGAAGGAACGCTGCAGGTAATGAAGGCCTGAGAGCGCACGCTGTAGCTGCACTGACGACATGATGTAGGAGGTAGATGAAGAAGTAATGCATTTTAAATGGAGGAAAGTAATATAAAATGAAAATACATCAAATGAAAAATAATTATTTACGCTACTAAAGTTAATCTACTTAGTTCATAATGTGTATTATCATAATTTACATATAAATCAGAAAGAAAAAAATTCAAAACCTTTCGTTCTATGGAGTGTTAAAGTGTAGATTTAAATATTTATCAATATTAAAATATATTTAAAAATCTCTTACTTCAAAATGTTCTGTTTATTTGAATCAATAATTGTAAATGCAGTACTTTGTGTATTTATAACGCAGGCACAGCGTTCAGCCCCGCCTCACGTGATTGTACGAAGCGCACGTCCATCAATTCTTCTCAGCCAATCAGAGCGCAGAAGGGTGTGTGCTTAGATTGCACATGGTAGGTTGATCCATTCTTGTTCCCCGTGCAAAAGAGGATGTAGTTCCGAACCAGAATTATGGATGATAGTCTTCATCAGGAAATCTACACATAAAAAAAGATGTCTGAATAGCAAAACGTATGTACATTTTTATTTATTTTAGCTTGCTTTTATTTAGCCGTTGATAGGTTGAACGTAGAGAGGATAATTCTGTCGCGCGCGTGGATCAGGTTAACCAAACTACATTTAAAAAGTAAGCGTTTAAACATTTTTATAGTTATTTTTAACAATTTAAAGAGCTGGAACGTAATTAAACATATTTTGAAAATCGTGAAGGGTAGGATTAGGGATCGGGGTGAGTCTGCTGCACTAAAAGTGCGACTTGTCCTGTTTTTCCTGTTGGTCAAGGGCTAAACATCAGCCTCCACCTCAGCATGTCCATTTTCCATAGTGCCATATGTACTTTAGAGGTTAGAAGTACTTTAAAGATGATGATTTGTCAGGGGGGAAGACAACTTTGACTCTGTGTTAACATCTAGTTTCAGGTGAGGCACATCACATGCTTGTGGAGATTTTCTGCTTGGGTAGTTTGATGAGAACTTTCAGAGACATTAATTCTTTTTCTCTCCCTGTTTGAATCGTTTTGTGCTTGTTAATCCAGATTAGGCTCTCAGAATGATGGAGGAGCCCATGGAGGACAGATTGTGTGGGAAACTGAGCTCTGGTTGTGGAGTAAACTACAACCTGAGGGATATCTTCACATGGTGAGCAGCATCAAAGTCAGCTTTTTCTTATTACTGTCATTTATTTTAATGCCTTGAAGAGTTTGGTCTATTCTCAGCAGCTTGCTAAAATTTGTTGGTAATAATACACAAATGGTGCTATACAAGAAACACACACAGATGGAGGGGAAAACATTATTACCTTTTTGCTTGTGCTTAAATGTGCTTAAACTACGCCAAGATAATACACGCAAAGACCATCAGGGTTTACAACGTTGCTAATATATTTCAAGAAATAGTTCTCACGTCAACGCATTTGTGATGACTCTTGAATATTTTTGTTAACAGTTGTGGTATTACTGCTTTATTTCACGTTACCGTGTTCATTTGTACTCATCTGCTCACACAAGACTCATGTTCGTGCTGCTGTTTGGCGTATTGTTTTTATGCTACTAGTGCGTTAACGTTTTTCTTAGTTCATATCTTAGATCTTATTACTGTTTTTCTTTTACATTTTATACTTTTGTTGGATGTAACTGGGACCCTGTGTACACAAATAAAGAAACTGACTCTGAGAAAAGGTTATCATGAAATATGTGGTGAGAAGTGTAAAACTAGGAGCTAACATTGACTGGATTATCCAGCTGTGGAATGTGTCAGGTTTGCATGATTTTCACCTGTGTCCTTAGAAGCTTCATCTACTTTGGAATAATCTAAACTTAGTTACAGTGAGTGAGTTTACAACAAGGATGTTTTCCTCTGCCCAGCTCTCTCTCTTCCTTCACTGTGCTTCTGAGAAGAGCTACAGATGATTTGCGTTGCTGGTCTGTCGGACTCACGATGATGTTGCTGACTCTCCAGGCGCCTGCTGAAGACCATCCTCATGGGTCAGGTCCTGTCCCTGCTGATCTGTGGGACGGCCGTCAGCTGCCAGTTCCTGGCTGAACTGAAGGTGGAGACGCCCATGTTTCAGAGCTTCCTCAACTACGTCCTGCTGCTGCTCACCTACACCACGATCCTCTGCACACGCAAAGGTACGACTGACACTAACAGTACCGTATATTTTGCTGTATAAGTCGTGTTTTTTTGCATCACTTACATGTGACTTATAGGCCGAAGCGACATATTTATGGATTTTTTCCCATATTTATAACCCAATTTTTGGCTGAGATATGACTGTTTTCATTCATTCTGAATGAAAAAATTGAATGCTATCATTTTTCAACCACTGGATGGCACCAGAGTTGTAAGGCATGCCATTGTATCATGTAATAGGTAAATGTGGCTATAATGACAAATTCAAAAAAGTTAAAGACAAAAACAACTGGACTTTATTTATTATACTTTATTGTTTGTCTTGAACTTTTTTTAATTTACCATGTCCTGGATGACTGAGAATCTTCACCAGCTATTAATGACACAATCGGTTTGCCATAAGTTGACGCCTTCGTCCAGCTCGCCTGGAGCAACAGTCAAATCAAGTTTCATTTTGCTGCGCTGCCCCGGCGAAATGCAGCTAATGACCATTAAAGTGCATTTTTTAAAGTAAAAGTTCACCTGAAACACACCTTTACTATAAAGTCGAGCAAACAAATAATTGTTTTTAGGTGTTTATCTTGTTAAATGTTTAAGAAATGCAGCGGCTGGTGAAAAAGCTGCATGTTCGAGCTGCAACTTGTTTATGTGTGTTGTTCTGCGTCTGCAGGCGACGGCAACATCCTGCGGATTTTACGAAACAAATGGTGGAAATATTTGGTGATGGGTTTGGCAGATGTGGAGGCAAACTATGCAGTTGTGAAGGCTTACCAGTTCACCACCCTGACCAGCATACAGGTACAAACAGTTTGAACTCACGGAGGAAACTGGGCTCTGGTCCACATGTAACTGTGTTTTATACATCGTGCTTAACCTCCTAGAAGACGTGTTGGAAGCTGAGACGTGCACGTCTCTTTTTGTGTTTCAGCTGCTGGACTGCTTCGTGATCCCGGTGCTGATGGTGATGTCCTGGTTCTTCCTGAAGACGCGCTACAGGCCAGTCCACTTTGTCGCCGTTACGGTGTGCTTGTTGGGGGTGGGGGCCATGGTGGGAGCCGACATTTTGGCTGGAAGAGAACAAGGATCCAGTAAGGACGCTTTCATTTTTTATTAACACGTATATGTGGACAGTTGACTGGAAGATCGGACGTTACCGGTCCGCAAAGGTTCCCATGATCTTCTAGGAATTTATTATCGAAGCTGAGTTTCAAATTAAAAGACTGTCAGGTTCTGAAAGGTTGCGTTCACTTTCAGAGCGGTGAAAACTGGACATGTGTTAAATGTTTATCTGATCCAGATTCAAATTTAAATAATATTTCTATTAACTTGTATTTTACTTTTTGCCTTTGCAGCCAGTGACGTGTTGCTGGGCGACATGTTGGTCCTGCTCAGCGCCGTCCTGTACGCCGTGTCCAACACGTGCCAGGAGCACACGGTGAAGAACCTGAGTCGAGTGGAGTTCCTGGGCATGATGGGGCTCTTTGGGACCGTCATCAGCGGCATTCAGCTGTAGGTTACGGTTTAAATCATCCTTTTCATGCTTTGCTTTTTGTTATTTGAAGATTATTATTGTTTGAATTCATTTTTTGGTCAAAAGGGGCAGATATTATAAGATTTTTTTCTTCTTTCTGCTGCCTTTCATTTTATTTGTGATTGCATTTCTTATTGTATATAGAATTGTTTTGTTTTTAAAAAATGAATAAACTTTATAATTATAATAATTTCCTGCGAAAATGCAACGTGAATGCTTACAGCTAATGAACTGGCTGAAAAACGGCTGAAATGCAGCTGAACATATTTGCTGAATTTGTTTTAAATAAGCAGAAATGAGCACAAAAATTAGTGAATTAGCTAAAAGGCTGAAATTAGCAACAACAAAAAAAAAGCTGAAAATGTAGAAAGAAGCTTAAATTACCAGAAGGAAATGGAGAAAGCACAATTGTGTCTAATTAGGCTGAAAGAAGCAGAAATGAGCACAAAAAGTGGAAATTATCTGAAAAAAGCTGAAATTGTCACAAAAAAACATCTGAAAAGTAGCTAAAATTGCAGAAAGAAGTTAAAAAGGCTGAAAGTAGAATAAATTACCACAAAAAAATTAAATTTATTTGAAAGCAGCTGAAATTAGCTAAAGAATGCTAACAGGCTAGCTGAAAAGGTAGAACAAGCTTCATTTAGCAGAAGTACGAAGAACACGTTTGCCCAATCAGGCTGAAAGAAGCAGGAATGAGCACGAAAAGTGGAAATTATCTTGGAAAAAAAGCTGAAATTAGCAACAACAACAGAACAGCTGAACAGTACCTAAAAAAGCAGAAAGAAGCTTAAATTACCAGAAGGAAGTTGAGAGCGCACATTTTTGCTGAAATATGCTGAAAAAAGTTAAAACAAGTGCAAAAGTGTGGAATTATCTGAAAAAGTTGAAACAAGTATAAAAACAACTCAATAGTAGCTGAAATAGCAGAAAACGCTGAAACTTGCAGAAAGGAGTATAACAAGCTGAAATTAGCAGAAATAAGTTAGAAGTACAAAAATGTTGTAGTTGGCAGAAATAATCTAAAAGGATCACAAAACTGCTGAAAGTAGCTGAAAAAAGTTTAAATTTGTACAAGGAAGCTGAAAGAAGCTGAAGCAGAACAAAATGTGAACGGAGCAGCAAAAGGTTGTGAACACATCTAAAGATCTGAAGGACGGAAAATGAGCTCAATTTGTTTTCTGAGAAATAAAAGGCAGTAAAGGCCAAATAAGTCAAAAAGCTAAAGTTGCGCCAATATCAAGTCATTAAGCACCTTTCTCCTGAACAAGCTGAACATTTTAATTTATGATTTGTTGAAATAAAAAAATAAGAAAAATGGCTCACAATAGTGTGAAAGCTTCATAATGATTAATAACGATAAAGACGGTCCAGGTCTACTTATCTTCTACACTGGGGAAGATGTCGGGGGGGTTCACAGATGGGTGTGAAACAACCAAAACTGTGTGGGAATAAAGGGCAGAGGTCACAGCAGGGGGCTTCTTTTATTGCTGTGAGTGAAAAATGATATTTTGTCCTCGACTCCAAACAACCTTTGGCATATTTGTGCTAATCAAGAAAAAAATTTTGTTCTTGTCTCTTCGTAGATGTTGTGGCTGCCTGCGAATCAGAACGTTTGATTCTGATTGCCAGATCACATGACCTTTCATGGCTTCAGCCACGTCCGTGCGTTTCAGGCTTCGTGCACGCTCTGATCACGAGCGCTTAATAGAGGCAGATTAGCTTGTGGTCTGAGCCTGCACCGGTCATTTTTTTTAATTTATACCTTTATTTTACTCCATTGAGATCATCAATCTCTTTTACAAGGATGTCCTCGAAGTCACCGTGTTGTATAAACACTGACTGAAGTAGGAAGGACCTGCAGTGTACCATTAATTAATGCTATTTACTTATTAATGACTCTTAATAAATCACAACAAAAGACAGTGAACTTGCTTAATTCTTGAGTTCATCATTATTTCAGAATATCCACCAAAGTTCCTCAATTTATGAGGACAAACTGAGCAAAGTCTCAAACGGGTTGATTTTTAGGAAAGAGCTGCTGTTAAAAAAAACAAAAACTAGAAAATTTGCATTTCCTGTAAAAATGCAGTGTGAATGCTTCTTGCTGAAGAACCTGCTGAAAAACAGCTGAAATTAGCTAAAAGCGTGCAGAAATGTAGCTGAAAAGGAAGAACAAGCAGAAGAAAACAAGTAGAAATTATCTTTAAAAAAGCTGAAAATTTCCCAGAACAGCTGTATAATAGCTAAAGAAATGTAGAAAGAAGCTTAAATTTTCAAAAGGAAGTCAAGTGAGCTGAATTGTGCCCACTAAGGCTGAAAGAGGCAGAAATTAGCACAATACAGTTGAAATTATTTGAAAAAAGCTGAAATTGGCCAAAAACGGCTGAATAGTAGCTAAAACAAGCTGAAAGAAGTTTAAATTACCAGAAGGAAGTGAGTAGAGCATAATTTTGCTGAATCAAGCTGAAAAAAGTTGAACTGATTGCAAAAAAATGTGGATTTAGCTGAAAAAGCTGAAATTAGCATGAAAAGCTAAATAGTAGCAGAATTAGCTGATTTTAGCAGAAATAAGCTGAAAGGAACAGAAGAAGATGGAATTAGCAGAAATAAGTTACAAGAAGCACAAACATGTTGAAGTTAGCTGAATGAAGCTGAAAGTAGCACAAAACAGCTGAAATTAGCTGAAAGTAGCAGAATTTTTTATTAAATTGTTGATGTGACAGTAGTAAGTGTTTGGGTTCGCTGTCAGCTACCACGATACCGAATTTCAGATGAATAGCTCTAAAATTAATTAACATTTAATTAACAATAAATACGTAGTTTTTATATGAATTAAAAGGTTAATGTGATTTATTCTGATTCTCAGGACGTGTGATCAGCCTGAGAATTAAACTTCAGAATAAAGTGAACCAGGGCGGCACGGTGGCGCAGCTGGTAGAGCTGCTGCCTCTCAGCGAGAAGGTCGCTGGGTCAAATCCCGGCCGGGGGGGTCTTTCTGGGTGGAGTTTGCATGCGTGGGTTTTCTCCAGTTTCCTCCCACAGAGCAAAAACATGCATGTTAGGCTGATTGGTAAATTGTCTCTAGGTGTGAAAGAGATCGTGAATTGTTGTTTGTCTCGTTTGTTTCCGTGTCCCTGTGATGGACTTGGACCTGTCCAGGGTGTCCCCACCCCATGGGCACCAGTGGCCCCCGCGACCCTGAAAGGCAGAAGCAGACAATGGATGGAACAAAGTGAACCTGATGTTTTCGTGTTTCTCTGCAGAGCTGCTCTGGAGACTCAGGCCGTGGCAGCCGTGCAGTGGGATGTTTCCAACGGTAAGTGAACGCATCGCCGCTCGTCCTCCTCGCGGCCGCTCGTTAACGTGCTGCCTCTGCTCTGCAGCCATGCTGTTTGCCGTCTACGCGCTGTGCATGTACGCGCTGTACAGCTTCATGCCTGTGGTGGTGAGGATGACGAGCGCGACGGCCGTCAACCTGTCTCTGCTCACCGCCGACCTCTTCAGCCTCTTCTGCGGACTCTTCCTCTTCCACTACAAGGTGGGCGGGTTTGAATCGTGAGCAGGTTTTAGTCACAGCTGAGTGATGGAGGAAACACCTGCAGGCAGGTTTTCATTCGTGTCTAACGGTTTTTTGTTAACGTTTCAAAACGATCTCTGTTCTCAGTTTTCTCTCCTGTACATCATGTCGTTTGTCGTCATCACCGCGGGCTTCATCATGTTCAACACCATCCCCACGTACTCGGCGTCACCCGACAACTCCGCCGAGGAGGACGCCACCCGCACGGCGGAGAGCTCCCTGGACCTCCTGCAGGCAGCCGACGCTCAGAGAGCCGAAGCAGCCGTGGCTGTGGACGTCTGCGACTGAGCGGAGGTTTAAGATAAAACTTTATTGATCCCGCAGGAAACTGTTGTGCCAGAGTTCCAGTACGAAGGTGCACACGAGGTCAAAAGATAATGCTGGATGGGTTTTATCTGTTCTTTGATTTATTTTTTATTTTTTTATTTTGGGACAAAATTTAGATGTCAAAGGTCAGTTTTTTCTTTTATATTGTTACAGATGATCTGATAAAAAAAACCACGAAATCTAACTTTCTTTATAAGATTTATTATATTTCACAAAGTATTATTAGCAGCTTTGGTAAACATTTATAAAGTTAAGTGCTATATGTTATCATTGTATGTTCCCATTCAATGATGAAATTAGTTCTCTGCATTTAACCCAGTGGTTCCCAACACTGGTCCCTGAGGAACACCATCCTGCATGTTTTACTTGTTTCACCTGATTCAGTGATTTAATTACTGCCTCAGAGCAGAAGCCTGTTAATCACTCGTTCATTCAGATCAGCAACTGAACTACGCAGGATGGTGTTCCTCATGGAGCATGGTTGGGAACCACTGATTTAACCCATCACACCTGAGATGCACCCAGTTGGAGAGTGGGCAGCAATGTAAGCACCCCGGGAGCAGTTAGGGATTAGATGTCTTGCTCGAGGACGCCACGACATTTGGGCATGGCGGGGAGTTGAACCTGCAACTTTCTGGTCCCAGGTCGGCTGCCCTGCCTCTGCACCATCTCAGCTTCTTATCTTAACCACTTTAACATGAAGTCCTTTAACTTTATAATAACTGTTCCTTAAGGGTTACCTGCTACAAATACTGGTTATTATTATTTTTGTCCACCATGAACTGGTTTAAAACTTAACTTATCTCCGCCTGGAACAAAAATACGAAAGTTAAACGATTATTTTATTATTTTATCTCCTTGAAGATCTTTAAGTTTACAACTGCACAATTTATTTTCTTTTTTTCTTATACACCAACAATTTATTTGAGCTATTTAAATTTTAAAAATCCCATAAGCTGCTTGAAGGATTTTTTGACATTTAAAACACGTTTCAGGCTGTAGATCAGGTCCTACCTGCCACATGTGATGGAGAGGAGGACCTGCTTCCAGCCAAGACAGCACAAATCCACCATGGAGGGGTCCATTGTATTATTTAATGTAATTCAAGTTCTAAAATGTTACAGGTACACGATGTCAGGGTGCGTTTTGGCCCGGAGCTGCTGTTTTGTACCAAATGTTTACTGGTGCACAGCGCAGGTGTGTTCATGCTCTTTACGTCGGAGCTCAAACGGTTCTCTGAAGGTTGCTGCAGACTGGCCGGTGATTTTTACAGCGTCCCTTAAAAGTTTAAACAGATTAGAGGTAAAAACTAAAACCCGTAACTGAAAAAGAGTCATCGTTACTCTTTTGGTGCTGTGCTGAAGAATCCTTTGCTTTGGACCATCACCAGAACACATTTTGTCTTTTTTTTTAAATCAGAACTATCCGTTAATTTTCATCTTTTCTGTCCAGTTTGTGTTGATGATGTTTGAAACTGATGCTGCTGCTCAAACATCGGCTGTAAATTATAGAAACGTTTATATTTTGACGTTAAACAAGTCACTTAAGATCCGTGTTCTTGAGTCTGTAAAAAGGTAGAGGTCTAAAACGGATCATATAAACGCTGTGTACTAGAGAGAATGCTTTTTATTTATTTGAAGATACTTTGTTTGTATAAGAGTTGTCGGAGTGCAGCCAGAGTAGAACTTTTTTACTATTAAACAGATTTTTATACTTTCTCGTGTCTGATTCTTTCACCGTTACCCTTTAAAGCATCAGTGTTGGGGGTTTAGTGACGAGGCTGCACCCGGCAGACGTTGGCCTTGGTTCACACGTTTGTGCTTGGAACCCACTGCTGTCGGTGCGTAATGATGATCGTTTGTCTTAATTACGATGTTGGTGCATTTATTCAAAGACGGTCAGGCTAAAAGTTGCTGCACTTATCCTGCGAGGTTTGTGAACCAATGACCAAAAGTATAACGTGTATTTCTCCTTCAAGAGTTAAGTGTGTGGACGCAGGCGACATCGCTGATGCATCCACAAACTCAAAACCATCACCGGTCATGGAGAACTCACCTGAAGACCTTGACCAGACCGTCCTCGTTGATGTTTATGTCTGAACAGTCTCTTTCAGCGTGTGGCACCTAAAATATATAAAAAAATAAAATTAAACTCACTGATAATTAAAAAACAAGTTTGTTTCCTTTTATAAAAACAAACTAAATGTCTGTTCAGTGCCCTGAGACGACTTCTGTTGTGACTTGGCGCTGTATAAATAAACTGAATTTAAAATAGATCGTAACACTCGTCTTTACAAAACAATGTATTATTTTGAAAAATCCAAACAAACGTCACAGCTATGAGTCGAAGCTCTAACGATCTTTGGAGAAATGCCTGTCGCCCGCCCGCTGCCTCTCAGGCCAGCGTTAGACTCTAATCCTGTTGAGGAATTACCAAGTTGTTGTTTTTTTTCCTGTGAAAATACCAGATTGTGATTTTATGAGAGCTCGGAGCGTGTGTTGAGGATGACTCTCAGCTACTACCACGACAAAGTTTAGCTCAATAAGTGTAAAACTGATGGCATTATAGTCGTTTGTGTTTTCATAATGTCAGTTGGCTGTGGCGGCCATCTGGCATTGGGTTGGCTCAAAACATTAACTACTTGTAGATGTACATCTAAAGGGTATTTCCTGAAAGTCTCATTAAAATCTGACAACTGGTTCTTGAGATATTTTGCTAACAGGTAGAGTTAAAATGGAAATCTGTTGACAATCAGATTGCAGAGAATGACTCCCAGCCACCACAACAAAATTTAGCTCAATATTTTTACAATTGAATGAATTTATTTTAAATTGCTTTCGCGGCCATCTTGAATCGGAAGGCGTTTGAAGATGCTTTTCATCACACCGCCCCCTAGTGGCCAAAAATATCATTACAGCATGCAGTAAATATTAGCCTTTATTTTATTTTTTTTTACATTAAATATAATTAAGAAAGCATCAGCCATCATTTATTTTAGGTGCTTGATGTGAGCAATTATTTATTTAAATGATAAGTCGTGATGTGAGGAAGTTTTCAGGTTCAATAAATATCTTCGTGTCTTTGTGTTTGATCATGGAGCAGCAGCGCACGGTCGCTTCTGTCTGACAGAACCCGCAGAGCCCCGCACATCCCGCAGCTGCACCTGAAGGCAGCTCGCGTCGTTCTTAATCTGCGGATTATCCAGACCTCGACCCGTTTCACTGCGGGACGAGCTGGCCCGGTTCGGCTCGGTTCTGCACAGATCCGAACATTGTGTAACAGCGTCATTGTTCCGCGCGCCCGAGCTTCAGCACCTCGGACAGATCCGGACCACCGGGCCTGAAACCAGAACCAAAGCCCCGGAATCTGCTGCAGGTCTGCACTCATCTGGACCAGAACCGGACCTGCGACCATCATGAAGCATTTCCTCAGGTGAGAGGACGTTTCAGGTCCAAACATGGAGGAACCGCCGAGTCTGGGTTAAATCACAGTAATTCAGCTGTAAGCGCGTGCGGCTCTGTCAGGAGGCGTTTGTGACGTTTGTGGTTCTGGACACCCAGATAATAAATCACTGCAATAGTCCAGTCCAGACGTGACAAATGCATGAACCAGTTCTTCCGCATCATTTTTCAACAAGATGTTTCTAATTTTAGTGATCTTACGCAGGTGGAAATGTGAGGAAAACATGTCCTGATCAAAAATAACACCAACATTTTTAACAAAGAGCTGGAGGCCGAATTAATGTCGTCAGAGGAAGTGAAACATCTGACAAACGTATTCCTAAAAACTAAACCTCTGTCTTGTCTGCGTTTAAAAGCAGGACATTTAGGGTAATCCAGGTTTTGATGTCTTTAAGACATGTTGTGGTCCAAGTAGCTGATGGGATTCATTGGGTTTCATGTCAAGTCAACTTTATTTATAGAGCACATTAAAAACAGAACCTGTTATCAAAGTGCTTAACAACAACAACAACAACAACAACAACAACAACAACAACAACAACAACAACAA